ATCACTTCACAGAAAGATTTGGGCAAATTATTATTGTGAATACTTGTTTGGTGTTGCAGAGTCCTTTCTTCTGGGAACCTAGCTTCTCCCTCTATTGACATATTCTAGGCCCCAAAACTGGTTCATGTCCAGAAAATGGGCAAGTAACCATGACATTTTATCAGGGAAATTGCCCTCAAACTCTTTTTTTTTTTGGAGAGATTTTCACTGTAGGGCGCGTGCGCTCGCCAGACAGACAGAGAGAGACATAGAGACAGAAAGCGAGAAATCACCCCCCAGGGGGGATGGTCATGCCACAATCCCTTCTCCTCCATTCTCCTCTCGGGATCTTGGGCACGCACGCACACGCGCCCGGCGTGAGTTTTAAGCCACCGGGTCCGGGACATGAACCGCGGTTGACTACGTGGGAGTCCAGTGACATAGCCATTATGCTAACTGCTGGTTCCCCCCTCAAACTCTTGATCACCCATTCTTGGTTTCTTTTGTATGTCACATTGATGATTTCTTCTAATGGTTGCTCATCGGTTTTGCCCTAGATGCCTTATTCTATTTACCATCTCTTTAACTTTTGTGGGTCAAACTCTCTTGACTGCCATTCATACCTTACAACATCTACTTGGCTTCTGATGTTTGAATGTGAGCTCCATGTTACCAGATTCAATCACCTCTACTACTCTCAGTGATTCCAGTTCTGAAATGGTATTTTCTATCTTCAGCACTGGACTACAGGGAGAGCCAACACTGAATTACTGAGTGATGTCGATCTCTCTGTCACCAAAGTATTCCTTATTGATTTGGTAAGTGGTGTATACTCTGCACTATTCTATGAAACATTAATTTGCTGAGATTTCTAGTTTTAGATAGTATTTCCACTTTAGCATGCTCACTTGTTTGAGCCGTTTAATCCCCCCTACACTGTCAACCACAGCAGTCCTGGCATTTTTGCTTAACTTGGTATATGCCATCGATTTTTCCATTCTTCTAGACGACATGCTAAGTATATTCACACCATCTGGGGTTCTTCCATGAATCTTAAAGTCTGTATCCCAGGAGAGTACTCTCGCGTTGATAAATCTCTATTATCTAACTTTATGTTCCACTCTCACTGCCATTCCCATATGTATAACCTTCATAATCCAGTCCCAGGCATATTCCCTGCCTCTTGCTGGTACTGGCTTGGTCCTACAGCTTCTTTGGGGTAGGGCTGCCTTCCAACATTATCGGTCATATGATGTTCCTAGAATACCATATGTAGTGACTTGACCTTAATTACTGTCCAGTGTCCAGCAGGAGAGAACTATACCCTGAGGGAGGGAGTGAATGTTATTCTGCAGTGAGAAAACCTCTGCATCATCTCCTAAGGGAGGGGCACCAGCTTTTCATAGGGAGGAATGGGACATTTTGGCAGGCTCAGCAGGGTGAGAGTATTATAGGGATTCAAGATGTATTTTTTCTTTTTCTTTTTGGAGAGGTTTTTGCTATAGGGCACGTGTGAGAGATTTTCACTGTAGGGCGCGTGCGCTCGCCAGACAGACAGAGAGAGACATAGAGACAGAAAGCGAGAAATCACCCCCCAGGGGGGATGGTCATGCCACAATCCCTTCTCCTCCATTCTCCTCTCGGGATCTTGGGCACGCACGCACACGCGCCCGGCGTGAGTTTTAAGCCACCGGGTCCGGGACATGAACCGCGGTTGACTACGTGGGAGTCCAGTGACATAGCCATTATGCTAACTGCTGGTTCCCCCCTCAAACTCTTGATCACCCATTCTTGGTTTCTTTTGTATGTCACATTGATGATTTCTTCTAATGGTTGCTCATCGGTTTTGCCCTAGATGCCTTATTCTATTTACCATCTCTTTAACTTTTGTGGGTCAAACTCTCTTGACTGCCATTCATACCTTACAACATCTACTTGGCTTCTGATGTTTGAATGTGAGCTCCATGTTACCAGATTCAATCACCTCTACTACTCTCAGTGATTCCAGTTCTGAAATGGTATTTTCTATCTTCAGCACTGGACTACAGGGAGAGCCAACACTGAATTACTGAGTGATGTCGATCTCTCTGTCACCAAAGTATTCCTTATTGATTTGGTAAGTGGTGTATACTCTGCACTATTCTATGAAACATTAATTTGCTGAGATTTCTAGTTTTAGATAGTATTTCCACTTTAGCATGCTCACTTGTTTGAGCCGTTTAATCCCCCCTACACTGTCAACCACAGCAGTCCTGGCATTTTTGCTTAACTTGGTATATGCCATCGATTTTTCCATTCTTCTAGACGACATGCTAAGTATATTCACACCATCTGGGGTTCTTCCATGAATCTTAAAGTCTGTATCCCAGGAGAGTACTCTCGCGTTGATAAATCTCTATTATCTAACTTTATGTTCCACTCTCACTGCCATTCCCATATGTATAACCTTCATAATCCAGTCCCAGGCATATTCCCTGCCTCTTGCTGGTACTGGCTTGGTCCTACAGCTTCTTTGGGGTAGGGCTGCCTTCCAACATTATCGGTCATATGATGTTCCTAGAATACCATATGTAGTGACTTGACCTTAATTACTGTCCAGTGTCCAGCAGGAGAGAACTATACCCTGAGGGAGGGAGTGAATGTTATTCTGCAGTGAGAAAACCTCTGCATCATCTCCTAAGGGAGGGGCACCAGCTTTTCATAGGGAGGAATGGGACATTTTGGCAGGCTCAGCAGGGTGAGAGTATTATAGGGATTCAAGATGTATTTTTTCTTTTTCTTTTTGGAGAGGTTTTTGCTATAGGGCACGTGTGCTCACCAGAAAGCCAGAGAGAGACAGAGAGACAGAAAGCGAGAAATCACCCCCCGCGGGGTGGCCATGCCACAATCCCTTCTCCTCCACTCTCCTCTTAGGATTTTGGGCACGCACACACACGGGTCCAGCGTGAGTTTAAGCCACCAGGTCCAGGATTCAAACCGCGGTCGAATCCTGGACATGGGAGTCTAGCAACATAGCCATTATGCTAACTGCTGGTCCCAAGATTTTTTAGGTGTATCAAACCAAATGTCCCCATCCTGTGTATCACAGGTCTATTCTTTCTGACGTTCATTTTGACATTCCATACCTGTCTAATTGGAGAATTATTTGGAAGAACTCCTTTGGAATTTATCAATTGACCTGCTACCATTATACATTAAGTCCTGGGACTGGACCTCAATTTTTTCTAACTTTCCACTGCAGGAGAGGAAGTTCTTTTGCATGTTCCCCAACAGGGCCTTTAGTTTTCATGCTCGGCTTTAAATTTGAGGTCAATCACCCTCAACCTTTCATTATTACCTTTCTCCAAAGGATCAATTCCCATTAGCAATAGTCACAACATCCTGATGGGCTCACAGTTCCTATTTCCCCTGTACTTGAGAAGGGTACATGCTCTTTTGCTGTATACCACGTACTCTCGCCCAGTACACTGTAGGGGAAATTTGAATGAAACCCCCGCTTTCTTGTAGCTATGTTCTACCTGCCCCAATTCACTGCTGGCCAGCAACAGGTGACCAACTACAAAGTCTTATCACGTGTGTTTTCTTGATCCATTCCTGGCATCAAATCTTTTAGGATGGGATCAATAAAAAGTAGACTGTGAGGTAAAGATTAGAGCTAAAGACAATTATTAGGAAGCACACCTACAACTCAACCTCAGTGGAAAAGGGATAAAATCAGGACTAGATAAGGATAAGGTTGGTTGTGATGCTGCTGCATAATAAGCAATTTGACGGGCTTTCATGCCTGGTTCTTGGGAGATAACTTAAATCCTTGGACATTTTCAAATAACAGAAGCATCTCCGTTATTTACAGTTTTTGTTATAAATTAGCTCAACTGATGCTAAGGAAATGACTCAGGATGATGGCTGGTTGCTGGTTATGCCAGAAAGACCAACCACGTGATTAAAAGAGTTGAAGCTTTTTTTTTTTCTTTTTTTAGAGATTTTTGATATAGGGTGCACGTGCTCACCAGAGACAGAAAGTGAGAAATCACTCCCCAGGAGGCATGGCCACACCACAATCCCTTCTCCTCCGGTCTCCTCTCAGGATTTTGGGCGCACATGCACATGCACCCAGTGTTTCAAGCTGCTCATCCAGGACTTGAATTGCTGTTGGCCTTGTGGGAATCCAACACCTTAACCACTATGCCATGTGTTGGCCCCAAGAGTTGAAGCTTTAAGCCACATAATTAGTTCAGTCTCCTTACCTCTAAGGAGGGAAAGGGATGAGGGAGTGGCAGGGACTGGAAACTGAATACAATCATGGGATCAATGATTCAATCAGTCACACCCATATAATGAGACCCTTATAAAAACTCTACACTGAAGCTCAGGAGTGTTTCCTGGTTTGTGAAGACATCTAGATGCAGGAGGACCACACATCCTAATTCTGTGCTGACTTTGGAAGATAGATTTGGTATAAAAGTCTTTCTTATTGCTTGCAATATATAAGTTGTATTTAATGTTAGCGATTGGAATTCTAAGCATTTGATAAGTACCAGAGTATGGCCTTTTAGGGCAGCCAAAAAGCCATGACATGAATGGCAGGGATCCCCTTTTGAGTGGTGGTCTACAGATCTTCTTGTGCCTTTCTCCTTGGAATGAATGCAACTAAGGAAGCCGGTAGGTTTCTAGGGGGAGAGAGCCACAGAAGTCCTAAGGTCAACCTGCCCCATTAATCTGTTACTGCCTTAGGAACAGCTTTAATGGCTGTGCTATTTCTAACCTCCCTCCCTCAGCCTTTGCGTCCACATCTATAAAATAAAATCTACCTTGTAGGATTATACTAAGGAGGACAGAAGTTGGGTTAACACTGTGAAAATAGAGTAGGCTGAAAAAAAAAAAAGATAAGTGCAAACTGAGTTGTTACTGCCAATTTTTTGCATTCCGGTAGAAATACCTATAGCTTGAGTGCATGTTGCCCATGTCGGATAAGAAAAAAATGGGACAAACGGGTCGTGGCAACTTTCACATTTTCTCACCTCCGTTTTCTCAGCTGAGCGGTGCAGTGGCTGCTGGTTCTAGATCTGGAGTTCTAAAATAGCTGGGTCCAATCCTGACTTAATAGCTGTATTATCTTCATTAGTTTCTCAACCTCTAATGCCAGGGTATTACAGATGCACAGGACTTTCTAACTGGGAGCTCTTCGGTTTTCTAACTTAGAGGCGTGGGGGCATAGGGAGCGCCTGGGCCCTCGCCCCCCCCGCCATAACCGCCGCTCAGAAAGGCGGAACGCTTCGGGAGCACAGAGGAGGCGTGCCGGGCGGAGAGGGCGGGCCGCAGAGAATCGGGCCAATGAGAAGGCGCGCAGTGTGAAGTCCCCGCCTCCGGGCGGCGTGCGCGTGCACCACGCACGCACGCACCGCACGCACGCTGCGGAAGCGCGCGCGCAGGCCCAGCCCTCGTCGCCGCCGCCATTTTAGCTCCTGGTTCCGGCCGCACGGTGTGGGCTGTTGTGGCGGGAGGGGTGGGGGTCCTGCAGAGTTAAGGACTGTCCTCTCCGGTGCCGATCGCGCGGCCCGCTTCATTTCCTTCCTTCCTTCCTTCGTAGCTGCCGGCTCCAAGAGTGCGAAGATGTCCAAGCGGCACCGGTTGGACCTGGGGGAGGATTACCCCTCCGGCAAGAAGCGTGCGGGGACCGATGGGTAAGTCAGGCCGGGGGCGCGAGGCAGCGGCTCGGGCTTTGTTGGGGGTCCTGGCGGGAATCCGGCGAGGACTGACCGGGCCGAGCGGGTCCCGGAGCCCGAGTCTTTGTTTGGCTCGGG